GAGAGAGAGAGAGAGAGAGAGAGAGAGAGAGAGAGAGAGAGAGAGAGAGAGAGAGAGAGAGAGAGTCACATGAGGAGGAGGGAGCTCATTACTAAGTGGATCTAGTGTTGTTGTTGCCGCGCTGCTGAGCGCTGGACATTGGAACTCCATTGTTTGTACAAAGATCTTGAGCTGCACTGATTTGTGTTCCCAACTTCTGGCTTCGGTGTGATTCTTCATGTGAACTTTCAGCTGTGCATGTTTGAGTGTGAAAGTCTTAGCGGATCATTGCATAAATACAAAACGCACAAGAAGGAAAATACTAATGCGTTATTGATCGTCATATGATTGTTTATATGGGTGTGTGCGTCTGATGATGACGTGTGTCCGCTCACCACGTGTGTGTGTGTGTGTGTGTGTGTGTGTGTGGGTGGGTGGGTGGGTGGGTGGGTGGGTGCGGGTGTGTGTGCGCACTTCCTGGAATGCAGGGTCGAAGAACTGAACTGGTTTGCCAATGCTGCTTTGCCGACGTTTCTGAACGGAAATAGCACAGTTGTCATTGCAACTTCAAGGGACAATATTGAAGAGGCAATGAGAGAGAGCCCTGAACTGAAACTGACCGTAGCTGCTAGTTAGTGCTTCCTTTGTAGTGAAAGCCTATACCTTTTTGGGATTTAGAATTTTAGACAGAATTTTACACTAATTTTATTTATTCATATTGTATGATACGCCTTATTGTAATTTAGTAAATACTAAATTACGATTCATTTAATTCCGAATTGTAGTCGACAATACTAGACATTGATCGCCAGCACTCCACCACCTGCGGGTCAGCCATGCAGGCCGTCTTGTGTAGTCGTTGGTCGGTATTTGTCAGGTGATACTAGTCAGTCACGCTATTCATCACGGCCACTGCGAAAAGTTAAAAGAGGGGAACTTCAAAAGGATTTTTTTGGTTTTTAGTACCTTTTTACAGTTCGCGGTTTTACGGTTTTACCCCTTGGCGAAGTCCTTTCTGGGTTTACAACTTGGCGATTGGGTCGTCGCCCGACTCGCCTCTTTTTGGACAAGTAGCAATCAAAAAGTCGTTATTTTTTTTTTTACGTATATATTTTGAAGTTTTAAACCGCAAGTACAGGGCCCCAGCCTTGCAGAGCAATCTTTCATCACCTCCGAAAAACATTTGGAGGCTCGCGGCTACCAGGCCACAATGGCTGGTGCAGCTGGCCGCACCAGGCCAAAAGAGAAAAAAGAGTGTGCCGCTGGCAGCTTGGTAAAAAGCTTGGCGCGCAGTGGAAAGGCCACCAGGCCCGGGTGTACCGGTGGTTTAACAGATCTGTGTTTGAAACTGGTTCCATGCCCGAGAACGGGGAGAAGTCTGGAAGCAGAGGCTTAGAAATCAACAACAGAGATAGAAATCAACGGCGAGAAGTCAGGGAATCACCAGAGAATCGTGACGGAGATTTGAATTATTGTTTAGAGGCGGCATGGAAATCAACGTCTCAGCAACCGACACCTTTGTAAGGCAGGAGTACCTCCTATACTTAGCCATCCATATTGGCTTATATATTATATATTTGCATGCAAGTGGAGGAATAGCACAATAAATCTGCAGACAGACACACACAGAGAGAGAGAGAGAGAGAGAGAGAGAGAGAGAGAGAGAGAGAGAGAGAGAGAGAGAGAGAGAGAGAGAGAGAGAGAGAG